CCGTACGTTGCTACCAGGGTATTGTAGCAGATACCTGAGCGCAGCCGATGCACCAGCACACGCCATCAGTATGGCAAGGACTGCTGCAGAATGAAGTTTTGATGGAAACCTTATGGTCCGGCCGACCATGAGCGGGAAGCACGCCTGACCATCTGGGGAAAATCCATTCTGGGACGGCAAAAGCAGAGCCTTCCCTAATCGGTCACCAGTGGAAATGAGTCATGAGTCCACTGCGACAACAACATGCGGCACGTCTGATGGCTGCCTCGCAGCCAGGAAGCACCAGCTCAACCAAAGCCCGAACTCCGTTTTCTGAGAATATCGCTCTCGTTTTGTTGGATTCGCTAGGTGGCCTGGTTTGGGAACCACTTCAATGTATGAAGACAAGCATTGCTAAAGTCAGCGCGGAATAGCCCTCTAGGCTGGCTTCGGGGTTGCGAGGGAATCGTCAGAAACGTCTCAGATCTCCTTTCTCCGAATGTACGCCAGACCTCACATTGCAATGCCAACTCACCACGTTCTGAGGGAGATAGCCAGGGCCACGATACCTCATCATCCACCATATAGCATTGGCATCGCTCTATCGGACTATCGCCTCCCCTGCGCCCTGAATAAGCATCTGCCAGAGAAGAAAGTTAAAGATTGCGACCACCCCAAAAACGACTTCTCCAAATTCTTCAACCCCCAGCTTCCTTCATTCTGGGCTGGAAGCTTCCAAACGCTCACTAGCAAATGCACGCATATCAGTGACCATGATGGTGGTTATGTTATTGATCAGTTGTTTCCTAGAAGAGATAAAACTTGAATAAACAAAAGTGTCGAAATTGAGACAGGAATTATGAGACAACCCAATAGAAATGCCCACGGCGGTTCGGAAATTATATACCAACCTAATGGAAGGAAATATATGTAGAACAACCTTGCAAGCGGAAATTCGCTTCACTCTCAAAGTGCTCTCATTGGCTCTCTGCACATTTGAACAAATTTGCGTTCTGTACTATACCTACCAACCCAGAGATTATGGATCGTCTACTATGTCCACTCACAATAGTGAGAATTTTCTTAGTTATTTCACCAACATTTCAAATTTTGCTGTTTCATTGCAACGGCCCACTCTGACAAAAAGGTAAGCCTGCCAGGTGATAGTTTCCTTTTATCAAAGAAACTTCACGTAGAAGTGGACATTGGGGGACGGTTTGATATTGTGTTGTAGAACTGTTGCGTCCCTCGAAGAGAAGCAAAGAGAAGAACGGTTCAACGGCAAGGTTCGGGGTCAGCCTCAGTGAATTGCTCGCTGCATTGGTAGAAGCCACTGGCTTGCCACTGCAGAGGTCGCGTCACCTTCGTACATCAAATCGCTCCACTGAGACGCTTGAGGCTAAGCATTGTCAAGATTTCATCAAAGAGTGTCAGTTCCCACACAGTTCAGTATTTTATCTGCTCGCATTGTTGTCTCCTCCGTTTTCTATTCGGACTTCTTTGTCCACTCCGCAACTCGCATTACCTTTCATATCCCTGTCTGCCTCTTATAACAAGACTTTTCCACAGCGCTCCCCTATTCTCCGTGTTTTTGATTATTTTCTTTCCTTTTGTCTCCACTTGCGTTCACCTTGCATCTTTATGTGCTTTCATATTTGGATGGAACTACCACATCAATTCAATCCTGATCATTGCCTTCAACTTTGGCACCTATGCATCTCAGAATTTCAATGGGAACATCAGGGATACTACATTCTCTAACTCGAGTTTTTAGAGGCTGTTATAGCAAATGTATTATAATATGTGACAGATGTTATATGTCCTAGGGATCAAGAGCTGCTAAATTTTTTACTAGACTCTTTCTGAATAATTGGTCTTGGTTTGGTGACATCAGCACAATACTGCACCTCTTAAAAAAATCCTTGACTTCAAAACGGAAATCTTCCTTAACATTAGTGTAAGAAAAGGTTGGAGAAGCTGCTGGGTTGCTTAGAAAATTGCTCGTAGTAAATCGCTTCGTAATTGGCTCATAAATGGCTT